TACATGCCATGTTTTCCAGGTCCTTGTCCTTTTTCAGGCATAGGTTAGCTAGGTCAACCTTTGGATGAAAATACACAAGAAAAATATTTTTGCAAATAAAATGGCATCTTTCACAATTTGCATGAGAGAGGAAAATAGTAGTAAATATTGAATCTAATTAAGAAGTGACAACTGTATAAAGAGATCTCAGTTTCCTCCATTTTTAATCTCACTTTGACCCTGTTACCACCCCAGCCTACTTGTCACTCTTCTCATCTTTTGTTCTCGGGGACTTTTCTCCTTCTCTTCCTTTGGGATGTAATGCCATTTCAGAGGAGAGATGAAAATACAAATGTCCTAAAAGACAGAAAATCTGAGTTGTGAAACGAGAAAATAAGACTTGTGCATGTCATATTTATCTAGTGTTTTACCAAGAGAAGTTTTTACTCTCTGTTTTACCAAGAGAGGTAAGATATGACCTTAGCTCCACTGGACAGGTGAAGACACTGCAGATTGAGCTGAAATTAAATTCACACACTGGTAACCAATAGTAGGAAATAGTGCCCATTCTAGCATTTTTTCCTAAAGGTTTTCAAAATGTATACATATATGTGTGTGCCTATGCATGCAGGCTCTCACAGAGATCAGAGAGCATCTAATCTGGAACTGGAATTCCAGGAGGTTGGAAATGACCTGATGTGAGTGCTGGTAACTGAGCCCAGGTTCTCTGGAAGAGCAGTGAGTAATCTGAGCCACTGAGCCATCACTTAAGCCCCCACACTTATTTTATTTTATTCTATTTTATGTTTTGAGACTGGGTCTCATTCTGTAGCCCTAGCTGGCCTAGAATTCACTGTGTAGACCAGGCTGGCCTCCAACACACAGAGATCCTCTTGCCTCTGCCTCCCAAGTGCTGGGCTTAAAGGTGTGTTTTATGACACCCAGCTGTATATTTTATTTTTAAAATTTATCATTGTATTTGTGTGTGTGTGTGTTAATATATGGTGGGGGTTGCACACATGTCTACCGTGCACATACAGAGATTAGAGGATAACTTTGTAGATTGGGGACTCCATCTACCTTAGGTCAGGGTTGGAACCTAGTCATCAGACTTGCATGACAAGCATTTTTACCTGCTGAGCCCCACTCTTTTCTGAATAAAAGTTGTTAATGATAGCATGCCTCTAACAAATACTTGTTGCTATATAGACTAAAAGAGGAGGATAAAGTATACAATAAATCTATCTGCACACAGCCAACTCTATATTTAGGTTTCTTTTCTACCTCTGGTTAATTTTTTTGTCTGTGATATAAAGTAAAGATTCAAATCCATTTCGCGTCCACTTGAACTAGTACCATTTATTTTAAAAAATCTTCTTCCATATTCCATGATGCAGCATTCCCTCTCCTGGGTATGAACCCAGTACATGCCAGATAACATGTAACAAGTATGATTATGGCAACAGTGAAGAATGCCCCAAACAGGAAATAGTCAAAGTGCCCATTGAGAGGAGGAAAGATAAGTACATTGTGATGTAATGTATTCAGTACACTCATATGATAGCAATGCTTTTTTGAAAGAAAAAAAAAAACAAACAAAAAAACAAAAAGCAGCATGTATATGATATATGGGGTGGGGGATTGCATGTGTGCATGTGTGTGGAGGCCAGAGGTTGATGTTAGCTGTTTTCCTCAATTACTTTCCACTTTAGTTGTTTGAGGCAGAGTCTCTAACGGAACATGGAGCTCACATACACTGAGCCATCTGCCCAGCCCCGGTAATCCTCCCGCACGGTACCTAGTGTTTTCTTATCTGTGGTGAAGGCCCCAAGTTTTTTCATGGTGTTGCAGCCAGTGCCAAGTGAGCTGTCAAGTACCAAAAGAACCACTGCAACTACATACAACATGGTCAGTTTCAGGACTAGAGAGAACCGGAGTCTGTGTTTCTTGATCCTAGTTACACAAAGTCACTGCCAACAAAACTCACTGTGATAGTGGAAGTTAGGGCTTTGGAGAATGTCATCTGTGGGATCAGGAAGTTCTGGAGCTCTCCATGCTGGTATTACACGATTTTCGTGTTGCTTATCACAGCTGCTCATTTTGTGAAAAGTTATTCAGCTATACATTTACAGTTTAAGCAGTTTTCTCTCTGTATATTATACTTGACATTTGGATTAGAATTTATTCACCTTAACTCATGCCTTCTGTCTTTATGAAGATAATTAATGAAGGAAATAACGTTTAATTAAATATGTGAAATTACAAATAGAGATTTCACTCACAAAAAAAAATTTAACAAGACACAATGATATCAATCAGGTAGCCCCCCCAAAAATTAAAAAATAAAAAAATAAAAAGCTTCCTAGAGGTAGAAAAGGAAATAACAGGCAGTAGGGGCAGACAGTCCAGGTTCAACATTGCTGAACAGAAACATACAGAGACTTAGGTACAGGTAAAGGGCACATTTCAGACAGAAAGTACAATTTGGGAATAAGGGGTATGAAAAGACGGGAATGGTGTGGAAAGTAGTACTTGCAATTGCAGATTGGGGAAAGACCAATATGGATAGTTTTGTAAGAGGCTTGTCATGATCATTATGAGCAAAGTTTGTTACCTCCAGAATATAGGACTGTCTGCTGTAAAAGGAAGCACAACGGAGCATGCTAGTACACACCCATAATCCCTAGCAGTGAGCAGGAGCAATGCAGGGATGTGAGTTCAAGGACAGCCTGGTTTACATAATGAGACCCTGTCACAAAAAAGCAAGACCTGGAGATGTGGCTCTGTGGCACAGGCAACAAAGGTACTATCCCAACTTGAAACCAAGCAAGAGACAATCTTACCAGGGTTAAGTAATAGTTCAGTTTGACCTAAGTTTTATGTGCTTTATGTACTTTAGGACAAGTAAGAATATATTCATACAGAAGAGTCCCCCCCCCCCCCCCCCAGATACTGGGGCTGGGTGGTGAACGTGACAACCTCTATTCTTACTCTTTGTTTCTAGCTCCCTTGGTTCCACCAGCCCTCCTTCCTCAGATCTTTGCTCTTCCCTTCACACTCACAGCTGCTTCTTTATCATGCCTTTCTGCAGCACTACAGTCATACTTCATTCCCTTCCTTCCTCTTCCCTTCCCTCGCTTTCATATTTTATTCACAGTTTTAAAGTGCTATTGTGCAAACCATTCTGTTTAATCCACACAGAACCTCATGTTTGTGGAAATGTGTGAGAGGGAACTAACACTCAGAGGCGTGTGATTGATGTGAGGTTATAGCCTAGGCTCTTGCTTGACTCCAAGTGCAAGCGTGCCCCATTACATGACTGAAGCCTTTATCTTTCTCAAATCCATTTGTGATGTGTTCCCTGGCTGGCCTAGAACTCGCTCTGTAGACCAGGTTGGTCTCAAACTAAGAGATCCACCTGTCTCTGTCTGTTTTTCTAGTCTGGTTTGCCTCACTTAAAATCATTTCCAGATCCATCCATCTTCCTCTGAATTTCATTTTTAAAGTACGTGAATTATTTAACATTTGAGTAGTAATTGTATAGCCAAACAACACAACGTATTACATTTAAATTATGTTCAGCCATATTGTGAGTGGTGAAAGTATATCCTATAGTTTGTTAGAGTCTGTGAGAGGTGTCTTTAAAGACTATGAATTATGTATGTGTTTATATATGATAAATGCATACATGTTTCACTTTAGGTGGACTTGATATTCTAAGAACTTTTAAAAATTACTGCTTTTGAAGTAACTCAGATTTCCTGTAGTATATTGGGATATCATAATTATCCCTTCATTGATGTATCCTCTTTTATGTTAGAGAGAGAGGACCTTGATGTAGGTGGCTAAATGCAGTGTGATTATGCTAGGGAGATGGCTCAGTGGATAAAGTGCATGCTGTGCAGGTGTGAGGACCAGATTTCTGTTCTCCAGCACCATGATAGAGCCAGGTATGGCAGCATACTTCAGTCTTCATACTCCCATGGTGAAACAGACTCTCCAGAGCAAGTTGGCTCATCAGACCAGCCAAATAGGTGAGTTAGAGAGATTCAGGAGAGACCCTGCCTCAGTAAATAAAATAGAGCACAACAAAGAAAGATAACTGACATCAATCACTGGCCTGTGCATACACACGTCACATATGCATGTACATAACAACACACACACGCACACACAGAAAAAGAAATTGTAATGGCCCAAGATCTCATTATAGATACACAGGTAGCAGAGGTAAAACAAATAGTTATTCAGAACTTGACTTACTTCTCATTGTTAATTTCCTTCTTTCTAGCTCCATGTCTTTAATTCACTGCCAGTGAATGAGTATTGGGGAAGTATTTACTGCCCCCAATAAGTACAATTCTAATCATTTGCGATAGTCATGGGAGACCTGAGAGATTAAAAAGATGGATGAAAATTAAAATGGTGGTCATCCATGGTGGTATATACCTATTGTAAGCTCAATACTTGGTAGGCAGAGGTAAAAGGTTTATAAGTTCAAGACCAGTCTAGGCTACATAGCCAGATCCTATATCCCAAAACCAAAAAAAAAAAAAAAAAAAAAAAAAATCAAGTTGTTGTACTCATTACTTTTGAAAGCTAAGAGATGAAACAGTTTCATTAAAAATGGGCAACTAGTTATAAAAGAACTGTCTCAGTATAGCTTACGTTTGTCTGAACTTTTGTTAGATTAGTAAACTGGCACAGTATCTACAAGGAACAAAAGAAAACAGACTGTCTGGAAATGAAAAGTCCTTAAGTGGAATTGAGTTTCCCAAATGATAAAACAAGGTAGCTAGATCAACACCTACTGGCATCAGCCATTTTTGCTGGTGGTTGTGGTTATTAATTCATGTGAAATGGCAATGATTTGCTTCTTGCTTTGGAAATTTTGGAGTGTCTTGTCATCTCCTCATATGGCAAAGGACTCTTCAGGGAAGAAGGGGTGTATCAGTCCACCTGACTCCTTTGTTACAGCTTTTAACCTCCAGCTCTTCCTCTCCTCCTTTCATTTACCACAGAGTGATTCTCATCAGTTCCGTGTCATGGCAGCTGTCCTTCGCCATTGTTTACTAATCGTAGGTCCAACTGAAGACAAAACAGAAGAGCTGCACAGGTGGGTAACTGTTACGTTCGTATCTCAGCAAAGCACACTGTCCATTCTGTTATCTCTGTGTATCTATTTTTGATGGTCAGTTATGAACACAAGAAAGTGAAATCAGGTAAGCCAGAACCATGCCTTTGTGAGAAATTTGTATACTGTTCTCTTTGACTTTGCTATGTTGAACTCCAGCATAAGACTTTGGCATTTGTTGTATTCAACAATAAAACGCAGAATGTTAGCATCACAGTTATTGGTCACTTTGAGATTAACTCCTGGACTGGGAACGTTGCTAGTGGTAGAGTGGTTGCTACCAAATATCAGATGCCCTCAGCTGTTTAAAAGAAAACGTTACTTTTTTTTCAATCATTGCACCAACCTTTTGAGGTAGCTGTTTTGTTTTTTCCAAAAGATAAGAAAACTGAGGTCTCTTTTTTATTACTAAACTTGACTAATATTTCATTATTTTAAGAATATTTAACAAAAATTATGTGCTATGCAGTAATAATTTAAATAGAAAAACAACAAAATAAGAATAGAGTCACAATGTCTTCTATTAAAATATATTAGGTCAGATTGAAGAAGGTGGCTCAGTGGGTAAAAGTGCTTGCCGTAAAGACATGAAGATCGGAGTTCGAATCCCCAGAACGTATAACCAACGCTGAAATAACAACTGTTTATAAATCCCAGTAATGTTTTGGGGAAATGGGAGGGAGACAGAAGCTACCCTGATCTGTGCAGCAGGAAAACAAGCCCAGTATCAGAATAAGGTGGAAGGCAAGGACCAAGTTGACCTAAGGTTGTCTTCTGACCTCCGCATGTGAGCAACCACATTCACACACAAAACAATGTACATACCGCTGTCACACACACAAATACACACTCACACACAAAGCAGTGCACACACATCTCTGTCACATATACAAGTAAAGTTATAGATACATATAAAATAAAGATCAGTTATGTAACTTGACTGTTAGAGATATTAATGGAATCTTGTTAGAGTTCATAATTCTCTGGGGCTTGGAGTGGGCAGCTCAGTACAGTGTTTGTCTACTTTGTGCTTAATTCTCAGCACTTCAAAATACAAATTACCATTCTCTGTGAGCAGCTGAATAAGAGTTAATACAGTTTCCAGTTCTCTTACTTGCTGTAGATTAGGTTTGTAATCATGAAACATATGACTTCATTATAGAGGTTGGCGATTTAGCTCAGTGGTAGAGCACTTGCCCAGCAAGCACAAAGCCCTGGGTTCAGTCTTCCGCTCTGAAAAAAAAGAGAAAAAAAAAAAGACTTCTTTATAAGACTACTAGTATTGTATTCTGTCAGAATATAAATGGTGGCTGCCTGTGGTGGCTCATACCTTTAATTCTAGAACTTGAAGACAGATGCAGTGGATCTCTGTGAGTTTGACTCTAGTCTGGTCTACAAGGTGAGTTCAAAGATAACCAGAGATGTTACACAGAGAAGCCCTGTCTCCAAGAAAACAAAACAAAACTAAAACCAAACAAACAAAAGAAATGGTGTGTTAAATAATACAGAGCTACAAATCATCAACTCTGCTTTATAAAGAAATTAACATGAGGGCTGGAGAAATGGCTTGGAGGTTAAGAGCACTGGCTGATCTTCCAGAAGTTCTGAGTTCAATTCCCAGTAACTACAGGGTGGCTCACCATCATCTATTATGAGATATGGTACCCTCTTCTGGCATGGAGGCACACATACAGGCAAAACATTGTATACATAATAAATCTTTAAAAAAGAACATGAGCTTTTTTAAAGTTACCTCCTGGGCACGTAAAATTTTCCAGATATAACTTAAATAAAACTTTACAAAAACACAATCATAGAATAAATTACACATACACCCTAATCCTTAGCTATTATTTTTCAGTCAAATGTATATTATTTTAATTATGTGGAATAGTATACTTTATGTCATGCTGAGTTTATAGACAGATTATTTTTATGTACTGTCTACCTTGTAGCCCTTCACATGTTTTCTTCTTGATTGGTGGATGGCATGGTACAACACTCCAGCCACACTCCAGAGGTAAGGGTGCAGGCATGAAGTGTCCAGTCCCCATGGGCTGTGTGCTGCGAGACACTTCAAAAATGTGAGAATGTTTTCCTTCACCACAGATCAAACTGCCTTTAGTTTTCTGGAGACAGTGTCCACAGTGCCACTTCCTAAATAACTGACGATATTGAATGTTTTTAGCCTGTTTTTTTCCCCCTAAATCAAGAGATACTAGCAATTCAACATCAGAATTAAAAGTGTTTTTGGTGTGTAAAAGCTTAGAAGTGCATTGAGATAGATAGATAGATTGATAGATACATACATACATACATACACATATATACATACATTGATATACATACATACATACATACATACATACATACATACATACATACATA